TACACCCTGTATTCGTCCTAATCTTCTATACACCCTGTATCCTTCCTAATCTTCTATACACCCTGTATCCTTCTGTATCCTTCCTAATCTTCTATACATCCTGTATCCGTCCTAATCTTCTATACACCCTGTATCCGTCCTGTCTTCTATACACCCTGTATACGTCTTAAATTTAAACACCCTGTATCCTTCCTAATTTTCTATACACCCTGTATCCTTCCTAATCTTCTATACACCCTGTATCCGTCCTAATCTTCTATACACTCTGTATACGTCCTAATCTTCTATACACCCTGTATCCGTCCTAATCTTCTATACACCCTGTATCCTTCCCAATCTTCTATACACCCTGTATCCGTCCTAATCTTCTATACGCCCTGTATCCGTCCTAATCTTCTATACACCCTGTATCCGTCCTAATCTTCTATACACCCTGTATTCGTCTTAAATCTAAACACCCTGTATCCTTACTAATCTTTTTGTACCTTCCATAATTTCTAATGAGAGATTCCTACATATTTGTTTTTCTTGCAAAAAAACGTATATTTTCGCTGTAAATTTTAAATTTTCTATTTTGATTTCAATTAGATCCTATTTCTACAAATTAGCAGATGCATTAAATCAAAATAACAAGAATTTCCAGATTTCAAACAGTAAATACTAAAAAAGACTGGTTCTTGTTCAGCTTCTATACATTTAAGAGGGGGAGGGTGCACACTACTGAAAATGAACCATCAGGTTTCATGTCAAAACATCTAATTTTTTTCTTCGGAATATATAAATATGCAGGCTTCTGAGTTATTATCTAAATTTTCAGAAAATGCCACCTAGGGAATTTTTATTGAATCCATTTAAAAGAAATTGTAAAAATTAAGTGCATTTTTAAGTCTAAACTTAATCGTAACTGCAGGTTCAAAGATTAATCAAGATTATTCTGTGTTTTTTTGTGATATTTTTAGAACCGTTGATGGCAGGGTCACCAAATTATGTGAATTTTCCTTAACAATCATAAGACATGTTTTAGCAAAAAAATCAAAGCCTCAAGTGAACTGTGTAATTGCCCAATTACTGCTTGAAAAAAGACTTTTTGAAGTAAAATAATTAAAAGTTACATAAAAAAAACTTTTTCGGGCCGCATTTTTACAGTCAGGCAGTTGACTTAGGGGTTTGATTTTTTGCTACAACAAGTTTCATGACTGTTAAAGAAAAATAAAAAATTTGGAGACCATGTCATATACTGTTAAAAAAAATATCGTAAAAAAACCAGAATAATCAGATAAAAGTCTTGAAATGAAATTTTTGTTTAATTTAAGACCTGTGAATGCTCTTGATTTCTACAATTTCTTAAAAATTGATTTGCTCAAAATTCCCTAGGTGGCATTTTCAGAAAATTGAGAATATAACTCAGTAGCCAGCATTGAGCATATAAACATAATCCAAAGAAAAAGTTCAGGTGTTTTGACTTGAAACCTGATGGTTCATTTTCGGTTACAATTTCATCCTAAATCGTCTTAATTACATTCATTGTTTAAAATTAACTTATTTATTCAAATTCTTTTATTGTTTTCTTTTATTTAATTTTCTTTTGTTTAATTTTTTGGTAATTTTGTACATAATTAATTTCCTTCATTTCTAAAATCTAATTCCAAAAATTGTTTCCCTTCTTTTCTATTATTCCTTTTCCTACTTAATTTTTTGTACCTCTTGCCAGGACAAGTTGTAAAAATTAATTTAAAATAATTGCAGTAGTTCCTGGAGTATATTAACAGGCAGCCCGGAATACCACGAGTCTGGAGGTGGAGTTTGATATGATGAAATCCTATTCTGGAACTTTCTATCTTGATATCAATTACTGAGGTCAGTTGACTGCTGAACGGAGACGGATTCCCTGAACCTGGGTCCTTCTTGGAACCTGTGTAGAGGAGGGAGGAGGGAGATCTAGGGGTCTTTCTTGGAACCTAGATAGTGGAGGCAGGAGAGAATCGAGGGGTCTTTCTTGGAACCTAGATAGAGGAGTGAGGAGAGGATCTAGGGGTCTTTCTTGGAACCTAGATAGAGGAGTGAGGAGAGAATCTAGGGGTCTTTCTTGGAACCTAGATAGAGGAGTGAGGAGAGGATCTAGGGGTCTTTCATGGAACCTAGATAGAGGAGTGAGGAGAGGATCTAGGGGTCTTTCATGGAACCTAGATAGAGGAGGGAGGAAAGAATCTAGGGGTCTTTCATGGAACATAGATAGAGGAGGGAGGAGAGAATCTAGGGGTCTTTCTTGGAACCTGGATAGAGGAGGGAGGAGAGGATCTAGGAGTGTATCTGGAACCTTAATAGAGGAGGGAGGAGAGGATCTAGGGGTGTACCTAATTTTACAATTCGTTATCAATCTTCCTTCTAACCTGAATACAAATGTGGACAAAATTGGAGAAATCCGTAAAAAAATTGGAGAAAAAAATCAACCAAAAAATAGCATAAAATCTGGAAATCTCGAGTGAAAAACTGGAAAAATCAGCAGCTGGTAATTTGAAAAATTTAAAGATACGAGCTCGTTTAAATCCAGAAAAATTTTAAAGACAAATTTTAATTTTAAAAAGTGCCTCTAAGAATATCTACCTTTCTGTAATATCTGGTCCATCTGTGATTCCTATTAAATGTGATAATATTAAGTCTAATTCCATTCAAACTTGTTCAAGAGATCCTTAAACGTTTTTTTCAAAAACTTGATTTAGTCTTTTTATCCCCGACTCTTTGTTACTTTTGATTTCTTATCCTGTTTGGATTTTTATTTTTTATTTTTATTTTTCTTATCAACATAATGCTCATTTTCTTCATTGCTAACAATATCTATCGAGTTTGCATAAAAAAGGTTTTAAATCTTAATTAACTTACAGTGTTCACCACTTCAAAGTGTGAATTTCCATATCATAAATTATAATTGTTATCCGTACTTGTATTTTAATCGTTAACAATTAAGAATTCTGTCAAATTCCTTCCTTGTTAATTTTCAGATGGGAAAACATGATCAATGTAGTTCAGACAAATGTTTAAAGGGTACCGTCACCGTTGTGAATCCGACAAGCAACTGTTTTAATGGAAGGCCACTTGAAACTTTTCTAAATATTTTATATTTGGTTGTAACCATGAATAATCTTGACTCCGGCATGACAAGACAGTTTTATAATTTCAGGAGCTAGATATAATAACAAATATGTCCCCAACAAGATTTCATTCATTCATTCATTCATTCAACCATCCTATTCATTCATTTATCTTTTAATTCATCCTTTCAGTCACCAGTGTCTGATGATAACATACAGCAATTAAAAATCTTGAAATTATCTATTGTAAGTTTGTAAAATCTCGTTGTTTTAAATTGTTAACCAGAAATATTATTGTAAACCATGTTAACTAAAGAAATCTAAGATTCAGTACACCTATCCTATCCAGAGTTCAAAATCAAGATTTTATATCCTATTTTCAAAGTGGTTAGCCTCTGAGGAACTGAAAACTCGCCCCGAACTCTAACCAATATTTTCACCAAGCTCTGGACAAGGATAGGAAACCCTCTCCCCTAGGGTTTGAATATAGGGATAATCAGAGCTGAATTCACTTGAAGTTCAAAAAGTACAATTAAATTATAGTATTTGTTAAATTAAGTGCATTTAGAATATATTTTTGATATATTTGTTCGTATTGATTTTGATGACATTTTAGATTGGTTTGATTTGTGTGGTTTCGTGAGTGTGTGTTTAGAGGATACAGGGTGTCCCAAGAAACATGGGAATTTAGTTAGGAGGATACAGGGTGTCTTAAGAAACATAGGAATTTAGTTAGGAGGATACATGGTGTCCCAAGTAACATAGGAATTTAGTTAGGAGGATATAGGGTGTCCCAAGAAACATAGGAATTTAGTGATGAGGATACAGGGTGTCCCAAGAAACATAGGAATTTAGTTAGGAGGATACAGGGTGTTCTAAGAAACATGGGAATGATGTCTTTCTGAAAAGGACTGTCGTTATAATTAAAATGCATTTACAAACCTGTAAACCTGTATTTAATCAATAATAAGATAAATATCGTCTTTTTTCTATAAAACAGTGTTCAATTCTGACAATTTTATCTATTGATCTGTTGCAGAAATCTTAAGTCACTTAAGTATAAATAAATCACAATCAAACATCTTTTTCTTTCTTGATCTAACAACGCTTTAATGGGTAATGTTGTGAATCGGACATCTACAGTCCGGAGTTCCAATAAAAATGTGAAGCAAATCATTCAACGGGTTCATGAGTTATGATCGAACAGTCGAACAAACTAGCAGAAATTACTCCTTGATATATAGATAACGATTTATACTACTTTAAATACAAATTAAAATAACGATTTTTAGCTAACCTTAAAAATAGGTTTTGAATGTATCGGAAAAACTTTTCAATTTTGAGGAATGAATATTGAAGATATGATTGTTCACACAAAATCTGAAATTATCTTAAGCTGTGTATTGTGTTAAAAAGAAAGAAAAAAGATTAACGAAAAATAAAGATAGTTAATTGAATCAGGGCGTCATCTTCTAGTTCAACTTTCAATTGTTGCACAATTTTCAGCATTTTCTCATAGATAAAACAATATTAATTTTTTTGCGGATTTACAATTTTTTCGAAGATTTTTTAAGTTTTACGAAAATCAAAAATTTTGAAGACTTTTTTTGTAATTCTGAGCTTCCAAACCGTTCTTGGGGTCATGTGAGTTCCCACACAAAACTTGGACCAGTCGTTTTGACGTTTATTGTACACAAACAAACAGACAATTAAAGTATGTATATATAGATTTTTATCATTTTGCACAGAATGATAGTTTCTTTTATTTTTTATACGAAAGCTGTATACTAAACAATATATGTATATAAAGGCAATATTGAAGCATGTGGGAATTTCTATTACATTTTAGTGAAATAAAACTCTTGAGGGGGGAGAGAGGACGGATAGTCGGATAGCCTCCAGTAGCGACTAAACCGTTGTTAAGTATGGATTCTATGTCTGGAAGAATGCGGGTTGTATTTATAAGCTTTCTATTCACATAGAACAAGGAGCTAGTACAGGGTTAGGATGGATGGAGAATCACCCCCGCCTCTCCGAGTACTCAGGAGTGCACAGGAGAAAAAGTTAAGAAAACGTAAGGACTTGGACGCGCTTATTGTGAACGGAACCCGGAAGAAACGGGGTTCAAGCCAAGAACTGCTGGCCAGGAGTGATGAAACCTCCTCTGAGGGCGAATTAGAGCTGGGGGACGGGTTCAGGAGAAGGAGAAGAAACGGGTTCAGCTGGGGGATCAAATGGGGTGTTCTGATAGGAGGGTTTCTCGCGGTCCTTGTTCTAGTGGTTTGGCTTCATCTCAACCTGAAGATTGAACTCGATGATGTTTGGAGACACGTAGGGAGAGGTAAATCATACGATGATACCTTATCAACCGACCTATAGGGTTTATCCGACCTAAATATGGATTTATGAGATGTGTCTGTTGTAAAACAGAGATTGTTACATAACACGAGAAATATTGAGAACATAACATAAAATTTTGTAAAAGAAAGTTGTGTCAATATTTTGCGAGTTATTTAATAATACCGGTTTGATAACCTCTAAATAAGTATTGAAGCGAAGAAAAAAGGGCGAAGTTTTAAGGAGATAGAAGTTATTGATTCAATAAACCTTAAAACAGGCCAAGGTTAAGAGACTGTAAGCGTAATTTCAAGTGACCCTCCATGCAAAGATGGCAATGATTCATTTACAACGGTACCCTTCAAAGCTTTGTTTGATCAGCAATTAAGTATGAATTAGAACACTGAATTTAAAACTGTTTATTTTTATTTCTGGTTTCTCTGCAAAAGTGACTTGCGCATATCTTGCTTATAAGAAAGACTAGAGAAATTATCAGAAAAATTACATTTTTTACATTTCTGATCAGAATAAGGTTTTAAGGATACCATTGTAAATCGGACATTGCCATCTTTGCATAGAGGGTCACTTGAAATTACGATTACAATCCCTTTAAAGGACGAGAGAATAGATCTTATAATAATAGACAAAGTTAAGAAATGGGGTCGGACAAGTTCATGGATACATTTCACACATGAATGACAAAGTCATCGATAGGATATTTTATGAATGAAAAAATCATTGATAGGACATTTTATGAATGAAAAAATCATTGATAGGACATTTTATGAATGAAAAAATCATTGATAGGACATTTTATGGATGAAAAAAATCATTGATAGAACATTTTATGGATGAAAAAAATCATTGATTGGACATTTTATGGATGACAAAATCATTAATAGGACATTTCATAATGGAACAAATAGTAAGACATTTGATAGACAGAAGAAATTTTATTTATAATACATAAAAAGTCATAAAAACCACAATAAATTGGAACCGTTTTTGTGACCATAAAACCTTGTGGTAAGTCTAAAACTTTATATAAGATCGGATTCCCTAGGATCGGGTTTCATACCACCTAGACTAACTTTTCACTATTTGTCACGAGAATTTCTGTCTGTACAAAATCGATTATGTTTGGTGATATTAATATTTAGGTCATGAATTCTTCATGATACTTCTCATTTTTTTTACATTTTTTACATTTTTTCGACCTTATCTATCTAATCATTAATACTAATATTCAAATATCTACATTAAACCACTCCTTAGAAATACGATCACTCTATACAGCGTTAGATACGTAAACATATCGTGATGTACACAACCGACCTGTCTATTGATTAATTAATAGACAGGTCGGTTGTGTACATCTGAGCTAAGATCACATTTTTCACTCTTTCTCTATCTGTATAGATATATTTTGAAAGTTTAAGAATATTGGAAACAGAAGACTCTAGATTTTAGGTTAATTATCTACTATTCTTGTTAAATCCTGAAAAGATATTTTAACAAGCTCCAAATAAAACAAACCCTACTAATCAATTAAATTACGAAAGGAAAAAGTGTTATCCAATTTTTAAAAGATATTTCGCACTTAAATTCATAAGATTGGAAAAACTGTTTTGTTTAATGTTGAATATTTTTAAAGTAAAAAAACGATTTTCTCTAAAGCAAAACTATGATGTATTGGTAGATGTATCTTACAGTTTTTTGCGTCTTCATAAATTCTCAATAATGCGTCCTCCTTGTGCGTCCTAAATGTACGTCCTCAAGTAGTGTATTAAATGTGCGTTCTCAATGTACGTCCTCAATAATGCGTCCTCAATTAGTGTATAAAATGTGCCTCTCAAATGTACGTCCTTAATTATTTTCAATAATGTGTTATTAACGTTTGTCCTCCATGCCCGGTCCTCAATGTTCGTCCTTGGATGTGTTTCCTCTATATTCGTTCTCTATGTACGTCCGCGATTTAAGTCGTCAATATGTGTTATCATCAATGTGCGTCCTCATAATTTGTTCATTAGTACTTAATAATTTGTTCGCCCTAATAATTGGGTCCGTGCAAGTGCAAGTGCAAGTGCAAGTGCAAGTGCAAGTGCAAGTGCAAGTGCAAGTGCAAGTGCATCCTGTTTTGCTACGGATAATGTTCGTGTTGATAAATAACTTACCTAATGCTTACTCTCGCGAAAAAATCTAGTAGTATTTTGCAGATTACTCCTTTGAAATCAAAACTATAAACAGGCACGGTGATGTTTTGAAATACGATTGTCTAGGTCTATAAAAATGGACGAGAAAATTAGTAATGTAAAGCCAAAGGCCAAGGGGTTGCGACGGTTCAAAGGTTCAAAAAAAATGATGACACTTCTCTTAGCTCTTTGGATTTCAGTGAAATATTTCCAGGTGTCACGTTGGAGTTTCTCATGTCTAAATTCCTTTTATTTTTTGTTAATTAAATGACAAATCTGAATAAACAGAAAACGGGGGGAAAACTCGGAAAAGTTCAGGGTTCTCGTTATTAAGTGATTAAATGCTTAGTAAAATTAAAATGAGATAATTTAATACAAATTTAAAATGATGGATTTTGAAATCTGAAGTACTTTTTAGGTACTTATAAAATATCAAACTTTTAAGTATATCGAAAAACAGTTGGTTTTCTAGGAAAAATATACTTGTGATATTTTTCATTATATTTATCTTATGATTTATTATATTTAGTATATTTACTGAGAAAGTATATAATGTTTCACATTCTGATACACAATAGGTTTATTATCTAGACTAATCTAAATAAATTGTATTATTATTCTGATATACCAATACACGGCGGTCCCCTTGGATATACAGGGTGTCCCACGAAACATGATATACCAAGGTAATGCGGTCCCCTTGGGCATAAAAGGTGTCCCACGAAACATGAGATACCAATTTACTTCGGTCCCCTTGGACATAGAGGGTGTCCCACGAAACATGATATACCAATTTACTTCGGTCCCCTTGGATATAGAGGGTGTCCCACGAAACATGATATACCAATTCACTTCGGTCCCCTCGGATATACAGGGTGTCCCACGAAAAATGATATACCAATAAACGGTGGTCCCTTCGGATATATAGGGTGTCCCATGAAACATGATATACCAAGACACTGTGGTCCCCTTGGGCATACATGGTGTCCCACGAAACATGATACCAATACACTTCGGTCGCCTGGGGTACACAGGGTGTTCTACGAAACATGATACCAATACACTTCGGTCCCCTTCGGTATACAGGGTGTCCCACGAAACAATGATATGCCAATACACTTCGGTCCCCTTTGATACACAGGGTGACCCACAAAACACAATTTTAAAATCTATTCTTATAAATCGAATTACGGAGGCTTAAATGACCCCCTACATTTTTCCAGTGTGACTTCCCCCCTTTCCCTGCCAATTGGAGGGGGGGGGGATATTCTGTACCTAATCTCAACTGACTTGAATTTTATCTCCTCCCTCTTCTTTTGGGTATCATTTCCCTTTTCCAAAGCTGTTGGCTGTAGGCTACAAAAAGTTACAAAAAGTAAAAAATTGTGAAATTTATTTTTACTATGAATTTTCTACGAATATTACCATCTTTTATCTCTTTGTAAATCTGAAATATCTGCATTTCCATGTTATAGAGTTTCTACCTTGGTATATGATCTTCAAATATTTAATTCTAATTTCAACGTTGTGCAGAAATAAATGAAAAGTTTTCAAGTATTTAAAAGTTTGCTGCATTCAACCTAGAACCTCATTGATGGAAACTTTTGAATTATTGGATACTGAATATATGACTACTGACTTGTCTCTATCAACTTCTCACTAACTAGCTAACTAACTAACTACTAGGGCTGGACGTGTTCCTACTTTTTTTTAAATCGTCCGTTCCGTTTGAACTCGTGAAAGAACGACCGTTCCCCAGAAACGACGCCCAGACCTTAGAGCTTTGTTCCTACTTTTTTATCGTTTGTTCCTTTCTGTAACAAATGCTCTCCAATAGTTTGTCTGCCTGTATCGTTCAGATACAACTTGCTCTAGAACTCAATGTTCTAAAATAATACTTTAGTCTGTATAAAAACCATAGAGCACTTTCTTTTTCTCAATGTGTATCGTACAGATACAACTCGCTTTTGAACTCAATATCCGATCAATAATACTTCAGTCTGTATCAATCCAGATACGACGCTATATGTATTCTTTTATATGTATCGTTCAGATACAACTCGCTCTGAGACTCTATGCTCTCTACACGAGAAATAATACGTGTCTAAACGTAATGAAGCAAAGGTTCATGTCCAACTAATCTATATTTTAGGTATTATAGTTAAATAGTACATGTTAACGATATGGACCGATAGGTTTTCTCAGAAATTAACAAACGTAGTTAGGGTACAGGGTTATAACGTAATATATACAGGTATGTTCACATTTACAAATATGGGGTTTACTACTATATTTATTACAGTTCCGTTCGTTCCGTTTCGTTCGTTCCCATGATAGAATGATCGTTTCCCAGGAACGACGCCCATCCCTATTCACTAATCAAATTCATGTTTTTAAGCAAAATATTCAATAATTTCAGGGACTTAAAGACGTTATTTTCAGTAACCCTCCATTTTAAGAGTGATGTGTCCGATTTACAACGGTACTCTTGAAACCTTCATCCGAGAAACAATAAGGAAGATATCGTTGTTTTTCTATCATAAAAATGTTGAGTTCTGATAATTTCTTTGATTGTCTTTGCAGTAGAAATCCGCAAGTCACTTTACAGAGAAACCACATTCGAAATCAAGATTCAGATAGAAAAATACGAATATCTCATTAATCCATGATTAGACAAAGGTATAAAATCTACCGTTGTGAATCAGATATGCCACTCTGAAAAAGTCACTTGAAATTACACATGTTAAAAACAGGATGTTTGTTTTACCATCTTGTTGTGACAAAAAAATCTCAGGAATCTTCCAGTGAAAGCTGTTTGAAACAGATGTTTAAAAATTCAATTTAAAATTGTCGAAACTTTTTCTTTTGATAAATTTTTTTCAATTTAATATTTTTATTCTTTTAAAATGAATTCTCAATTTTTTTCTATTTGATTTGTCAAAGAGACTATATTGCTATGGGTTAAAGGGACTGAGGGCGTATTTCAAGTGACCCTTTTTAAAAAGATGCCAATGCCCGATTTACAACGGTACCCTTGAAACCTTTATAGGAGTTTTAAACGTAAAACCCTTTTCTAGGTTTAAAAGTGTTAAATTCTGATAATTCCTATGTTACCTGCACTAGAAATGCGCATACTACTTCCGAAAAGATACCACAACTGAAAATAATCAATTTTCAGAATTTTAAACAATGATATCTAATTCACGATTGATCAGACAAAAATTTAAAGTGTACCATTGGGAATCTGGCATTGCCGTCTTTGCATGCATATAATTTACGCTTACAGTCCTTTTAATAGCATACCATTGGCTAATTTAAATCTTTAAAAAAAAACATTTTAAAAACATTTTTTAAATTTAGTTTGTTAATGGTAGAACTTAGTTTTATCTAATTTATGAATTATATTTTGTTTTATCTCTGACAAATGGCGGGCTAAAAATTTCTTGAAATTCTGCTCCAAATTTTAATTAGAAGAGAACTGAGACAATACTAGAGGTTTNGCAGGAGGCTAGCCCCTTAGGCAGAGGTTTCTAGGGGAGGGGGGCTCGGCGCTGAGGCTAGGACAACTTGTAAATTTCAACCCTGAGAAAAGTATATAAAAGAGACTGTCCTGGTAATTTTAATTGACCTTTCATTTACATAGGATCAAGTCTGATTCAAGACCCTCTTTAAACCTTTATCTAATTAATATTGAGGAAAGTTATATTTGCTTTTATAGCTTGGAAACTGTTTAATTAGAACAATTTTCTCCATGGTTTTTGGAGTAGAAATCTACATGTCACCTTTGTAGAGAAACCACAATCGGATAAAATGAATTCTCAACAAGAAAAACGTGCATATGCCACACATGCTTGACCTGACAAAGTTGTATAGGGTATCGTTGTGAATCGGACTTACCATGATATTACGTCTGCATCCTTTTAAGCAAGGTTATATGGTTAGAAAAGTTAATTGCTATTGTGTATACTCTGCGTACATATTGAAACTAGTTCTCTCTGGGCGGTGTTGTGAACAAGAATAGATGCTAGTATCCGAGGAGGATAAAAGCATTTAATTTCGATAATTTTTGAAATTCACATAATAGTTTCCTATGACTAGAATGTTTCATTGATTTTTATGTTAAAGATGGATCCCATGTCTGGCTGTGACATCCGTCTTGTATTTACTTTAGAGCCCAGAGCTCAAAACTTAAGACAGGGTATCGTTATGAAAACCAGTTTTGGAACCCTGGTTTCACGGATGGGTTAAGGCAGTTCTGTAGATATCAATATTTTTGTTATGAAATATTATGTTATTTAGTTTCTTCATATTCCCCATTTTTTCGAATCTCTTAAATCAAAATCTACAGAAATGTTAAGACCCCAAAAGGAAACTTAAAGGTTTCGTTCAACGATACTTTTTTAATTTTGGGCTCAGAGACAGTACACTGCAGTACAAATATGCGTACATCCTAAAAAATAACTATCTTTACATAATACCTACTTTACGCTTGGTTTTGTACGGAGATTAGAAATGATTAAAAACTCTTTCCGCATATTATAACCCCCATGGAGACACCGATACACATTTCACATTTGATGGGAATCCATTTTAGAGGTTCCTCGATGCTCACTGAACTAGTTTCAGGGTTACCCACAAAGGATAAGACTTCAAAGACGACTTTATGGAATTCATTCAGTCTTTTCATCTACATTGTTGGTTCCCTGCAGTTGGAAACTTTCATCTAATTTATTTAGATATACAAGTTGAACACCATTTTTAGATATTTAGATATACAAGTTGAACACCATTTTTAGATATTTAGATATACAAGTTGAACACCATGTTTAGATATTTAGATAAACAAGTTGAACACCATTTTAGGCATTTTTCTTTGTTGATAACATTGTATATCCTCAAGTTCAGCGAATTTAAGCAATCGTGTCATTTAAAAACTAGGTATTTTCTAAAATCCTAAATAAACAGCCCAGGGTGGTAATATCAAAATTTGCATGATTTTTAAAAATGTAGATTCTAGAAAATCATTTGAAATTGGAGCTAATTTTATATTTGAAATTTGTTTCGGGTTTAGAGATTTCAACAAAATTTAAATATAAATATTATATATTTTTTATTTACATATATTTATATATATATAAATACATATTGATATACTTTAATAACTGTTTCATCGCAATATTTAAGAGTTTAAAAACGGTCCCTTTTAAACTTCATATTTTTACAAACTTTACAAATTATGTAAAATTTCCTACCTTGTCTTTGCTTTATAAATCCGCGGCTCGTGGCTCTTGAAGAAAATTGTCGAATTTTTAATAAAAAAAAATAAGATATATCCCTTTAGATGGAGGGTCACTGGAAATTTTTTCGACTTTTTCTATAAAAATGAATTATCTATTCTTGTCAAGTTGTCTCACCCAATTTAGCATGTTACAATTTACATTATTGAAGGATCACTTGAAAAGGTGTGGACAGTCCCTTTAATAAAATTTATTTTTCTAGTTGATGAAGCTTCAAGATCAGCCGCCTCTCCTATTATTGCAATTAAAACTTTATTAGATGAATTACAGGTATTTATAATTTATGTTATATAATAAAAATCTAGGGTTTTCCGCGCCACATTTTAAATACCAGGCACGATATGAGACCATTCGAGTTTAAAACTAGTTTTACATGCTTTGCAAAGACGTAGCATTGTTGCATATGGTTTAATGTATATTTGCTTTATGTTTATATTTGAATGAATTATAAGTTAAAACAAATATATATATAAATATATACGGCTGCATAGGATGCATGCATAGCATAGACTCATATAAGAAAATATATTCAAGTTTATATACGGCTGCATAGGATGCATGCATAGCATAGACTCAGATATGAAAATATATACAAGTTTATATACGGCTGCATAGGATGCATGCATAGCATAGACTCATAGATATACAAGT